TTTGATTTCATAGTTTTTGGTCCTTGGAATAGCTTCTGATTCACCGAGTTGTTTTGGCATTATGCTTTCTGTAAATTTTGAGAAATAGTACAAGAGTTGCCAAAAACCTACTGATGTATTTATTACAGGGCTATCATTTATGAGATTAATAAATCATCATTATCACTACTCCATAGGGAGATATTATTATTCCCATCTTATAAGTATGGAAAAAGCAACTTAGAGAAATTACTCAAGGTCACACATTTGATAACTGGTGGTGCAAGTACTTGAATCTGTGGCTCTTTCATGCCAAAATCAACAGAATTCTATGATACCATGTGGGGGGTAGTGGAGGTGTGGGTTGTTTGTATGTAGGTATGTATGTATGTATTTTATTTATTGAGACAGGGTCTCGCTCTGTCATGTAGGCTGGAGTGCAGTGGTGTGATAGTAGCTCAGTGCAGCCTTGAACTCCTGGGCTTAAGGTATCCTTTCTGTCTCAGCTTCCAAAATAGCTAGGACTCCAAGTGTACACCACCAGGCCCAATTAATTTTGTAAAAAAAAAAAAAATTTACACAGACAGAGTCTCATTATGTAGCCAAGGCTGGTCTCAAACTCCTGGCCTCAAGTGATCCTCCTGCCTCAGTGTCCCACAATGCTCAGATAACAGGCATGAGCCACTATGCCTGTCTCACGTGGACTGTTTAACTTACCTGCCACACGCATCTTCAATATATATTTGTTCAATTTATTTTCTTTTAAATTTTTTTTTTTTTTATGTAAGATGGGGTTTCACCATGATGGTCAGGCTGGTCTTGAACTCCTGACCTCAGGTGATCCACCCACCTCGGGCTCCCAAAGTGCTACGATTACAGGCGTGAGCCACCGCGCCCGGCTTAAATTTTTTTTAAGACAGAATCTCACTCTGTTGCCCAGGCTAGAGTGCAATGGCACGATCTCAACTCACTGCCTCTGCCTCCTGGGTTCAAGCAATTCTCCTGCCTCAGCCTCCTGAGTACCTGGGATTATAGGCATGCACCACCACACCCAGCTAATTTTTGTATTATTAGTAGAGATGGGGTTTCACCATGTTGGTCAGGCTGGTCTTGAACTCCTGACCTCGTGATCCGCCCACCTTGGCCTCCCAAAGTGCTGGATTACAGGCTTTTTTTTGAGATGGAATCTTGCTCTGTCACCCAGGCTAGAGTGCAGTGGCGCCATCTCAGCTCACTGAAACCTCCATCTTTTGGGTTCAATTGTTTCTCCTGCCTCAGCCTCCAGAGTAGCTGGGACTACAGGTGCGTGCCACCATGCCCGGCTAATTTTTTGTATTTTTTTGGTAGAGACGAGGTTTCACCGTGTTAGCCATGATGATCTTGATCTCCTGACCTCGTTGTCATCCCACCTCAGCTTCCCAAAGTGCTGGGATTACAGGTATGAGCCACTGTGCCTGGCCTCACTTGTTCAATTTAATAAAAGAAATGAAGACACTGAAGTTAATCATTCAGAGGTATGAGCATAATAACAACTGTTAATAGTTAATCTTGGTTGACTGACATGCTAGAAACTGGTCTAAGCAAACTTCATCTTATTTAATCCCTATACAATCTCATGAGATAGATATACTAAACATTCCCACTTTACAGATAAGAAACTGAGGCACAAGGTTAACTAACTTGACAAAGATACAGCTTGACAATAATACAGCTATTAAGTGGTGGAATACAGATTTGAACTCAGGCATTTTGGCTCCGAATTCTAAACCACTATGATACACTTCATCAAAATTTTAGAAACAAAAAAAGATTTCGTCAAATTTTATAGCCAGTATCTTTCTAAGGGAGAGAACATTGTGAACAAGAAAAATGAAATAACATGCCTTGAAGTCTCTTAGCTTTTATTGGCAGAGCTAAGTAGAAACCACCTATCCTAAGTCATGAAGATTTATCTTGTACTTTTTCATTTAAATAGGCCGAAGAACTTTCACCTAGCATTGTGCTAGTTTTCATTTTGCATTTTGAAAGAGAGAGCAAGGACTGTCTTTACACTGCACCCCTGATTAGCACTGCACCCAGCACACCACACAGTGAGAGCTGAACAAACATTTATCAAATAAGCGTCAGATAACGACAGAGCTAGAGCTAAAAACCATGGCCAAGCTTACAGTTGTCTTAGTTAATCATGCTGCCTTGTTTCTTCAATACTAAAACAAATGCTATAAAATGAAACTATTCAAACCTGAATTTTTCTTGACACGTGGACTATATCCATATTTCTGGAAATACTCCCTTATTTTCATAATATCCATTGAATTTTTTTCCATTAGTATTTTTGTTGCCTTCATGAAATCAATGCTTTCTTGACTTTCCAATCTTGCTTCATCAAGAAGAATATTAACATCATCCTTTTATGAATAAAGAAAGTACATTATAATTTCTGTAACTTCTGACTAAATCTATTTAGGATAAAAAAATTACTTGCCACAGAAAAATGATAATATTGTAGGATTGATACCTTTAGAGTCTGAACTTCTGAATGAAGGTCATACAAAATTCTCATTGGATAATCTTCAAAGTCTTCAATAGCAATATTGAAAAAAAAAGTCCAATAAATGTAAGGAAAAGGAGGAAGAAAAAGAATACTTAGTATACAATCATGTACATTATAATGACATCTCGGTCAATGGCAAATCACAATTATGATAGTGGTACCATAAGATAATACCATATTTTTTACTGTACTTTTTGTATGTTCAGATACTTACCATAAGCTTAGAGTAGTCAGTATAGTCGCATGCTATACAGGTTTGTAGCCTAGGAGCAATAGGCTATACCATATAGCCTAGGTATGTAGTAGGTCATATAATCTACATTTGTGTTACATATGCTCTGTGATGTTCGCACAATAACAAAATTGCCTAACATTGCTCAGAACACCTCCCAATTAAGTAACATGACTGTATAACATACATACTGAAAGCATACAAATCCTAGCTTAATGAACTTTATAAAATGATCATTACCTGCATAACCGGCCCTCAGCTAAAGAAATGGAGCCTTATTTGAACTCTAGAAGCCCTCTTAGAGTCTCTCCCTTCCCACTAAGGGTAACCCCTACCCTGATTTTTCTTTTCTTTTCTTTTTTTTTTTTTTTGAGATGGAGTTTCACTCTTGTTGCCCAAGCTGGTGTGCAATGGCGTAATCTCTGCTCATTGCAACCTCCGCCTACCGGGTTCGGGCGATTCTCCTGCCTCAGCCTCCCAAGTAGCTGGGACTACCCCACCACTAGGCCTGGCTAATTTTTGCATTTTTAGTAGAGACAGGGTTTCACCATATTGGCCAGGCTGGTCTTAAACTCCTGACCTCATGATCCGCCCACCTTGGCCTCCCAAAGTGCTGAGAGTAGAGGCGTGAGCTAGTGCAACCAGCCACCTTACCCTGATTTTTAACACCATGAAGTAGTTTTGCCACTTAGGAACTTGATTTAATGGACTCATGCTATAATATGTATTTTTTTTGTGATTGGCTTTTTTCACTCAGCTCTGTTTGTTACATTCTTCCAAGTTCATACATAATCTAATCCATCCATGTTCATTACTGTATAGTATTTCCACTGCATGATATCAAATTTATTTATCTATTCTATTGTTGAAACACTTCGGATTGTGCCTAGTTTGGAACTATTATGAATACTCTTGCTTTGAACTTTCTAGAACATGTCTTTGGTACCAATGTATTCATATTTCTGTATGTTAGAGACCTAGAAAAAGTGCTGGATTATATGTTACAGATATGTTCAACTCCAGTAAATACTGCCATTTTCCAACATGACTGTTACAGTTTGCACTCTAACCAGCAGTGCATAAGAAGTGCAATTGCTCCACATCTTTGCAAACACTTGGTAATTTTCTCTTTTTCATTTTAGCTATCCTGGTGGGTATGCAACTGTACTGTATCGGAATTTAATTTGCATTTCCTTGATGACTAATGAAACTGATATATTTTCACATTCCTAATGGCCATCTGAAGATAACTTTTTTTTTTTCTGAAATGGAGTCTCACTCTGTTGCCCAGGCTGGAGTGCAGTGGCATGATCTTGGCTCACTGCAACCTCTGCCTCCAGGGTTCAAGCGATTCTCCAATGTTAGCCTCCGAGTAGCTGAGATTACAGGCACCCCCTACTACACCCAGCTAATTTTTTTTTGTATTTTTAGTGGATACGAGGTTTCACCATGTTGGCCAGGCTGGTCTTCAACTTCTGACCTCAGGTGACCAACCTGCCTTGGCCTCCCAAAGTGCTTGTGATTACAGGTGTGAGCCACCGTGCCAGGACGAATCTTAATTTTAATGCAGTCCTACTTATCCATTTCTTTCCCTTATGACAAGCACTTTTTGGTTTCTATTTTTTAAATCTTTGCCAATGACAAGACACATCTCTCTCATGTTTTCTTCTAAAGCTTTATGGTTTTAACTTTTGCATTTAGAGCTATACCCATCTGGAATTTATTTCTGTATATGGCATGTGGTAAGAATCAAGATCCACTCTTATGTTCCGTATAGATATTCAATTGACCTGGCACAACTTACCGAAAGGCATCCTTTACCCACTGTATGTCATTTTTGTTATTAATCAGTTAGTGTTACATATGATGTAAAAGCAGTTTTGGTTTTTTTTGTTGTTTAATTTTTTTGACAGGGTCTTACTCTGCCACCCAGGCTAGAGTACAGTGGTGCAATCACGGCTCACTGCAGCCTTGACTTCCTGGACTCAAGCGATCCTACCATCTCAGACTCCCAAGTAGCTGGGGACTACAGGCATACAACCACCATACCCAGCTAATTTAAAAGTAGTGGAGTTATTTTTTGTTTCTTTTTGAAACAGAGTGTCACTCTGTCAGCCAGGATAGAATGCAGCGATCTCAGCTCACTGCAACCACAGCCTCTCAGGTTCAAGTGATTCTCCTGCCTCAGCACCCCCACCCCCAGTAGCTGGGATTACAGGTGTGCACCACCACACCCAGCTACTTTTTGAGATGAGATTTCGCCATGTTGGCCAGGCCGGTCTCAAACTTCTGGCCTTAAGGGATCTGCCCACCTCAGCCCAGAAAAGTGCTCGGATTACAGGCGTGAGCCACCACACCTGGCCTAAAGGTAGTTTTTTTAAAAGGGTTATATTTCTCTTTTCTAAAACACATCTCCTTTGAAGATCTCCTTCTCCTTCCACCTGTTAAATCTGACCAATTTTTATTAGGGAAATGCAAATCAAAACTACGATGAGATTCCACTTCATACCTACTAGAATAACTACATCAAAAAAGATAATAATAAACGTTGGTGAGGATGTGGAAAAACTGCAACCCTTATTCACTGTTAATGCAAATGTAAAACAGTGCAGACACTCTGGAAAACAATTTGGCAGGTCCTCATAAAGTTAAATCATATGACCAAGCAATTCCACCTCTAGTGCATGCCCAAGAGAATTAAAAGCACATTCACACAAAAACTTACACATATTTACAGCAGCATTATTCATAATAGCCAAAAAGTAGAAACAACTCAAAATGTCTATCAGCTAGTGAATAACAAAAACATAGTAGAACCATACAATAGAATATACTCAGCAATAAAATATTATAACGTGGAGGAACATTGAAACATTACACTAAATGAAATAAGTTAGTCACAAGACTACAAAGTCTACAATTCCACTTATATGACATGTCCAGAATAGGCAAATCTATAGAGCTAGAAAGTAGTTTCATGATTGCCTAAGGCTGGTGTGGTTGGTGGGGCTAAAGGGAGTGACTGTTAAGGGGGCACAGGGATTTCTTTTAGGCGTAATGAAATCTAAACTTTTTGTCATGATAATTGGACAACTCTGAGTATCTTAACAACCACTGAATTGTATCCTTTAAACGGTGAGTTTTATGGCATGTGAATTATATTTCAAAGATATTTAGAATTAAACCAATTTAATGATTCATCATTATGATCATAAAAGGCAAGATTGTGACCATTTTCTCTTATTACCACAATTCTAATTTTCTATAATGCATACGGGGCAGGAATTGAAGAATTATTCCAGCTTTTCCTTGTAAACACAGAAGAAAATGCAGAGATTATGCAGTCACTATGTCTATAGGAAAACAAATTAGCACAAGCTTTATGGAAAGCAACTGAGAGCATATATATCTCTCTCCAGGCTGGGCCCTGCACTTTGGGAGGCCGGGGGATCACTTGAGGTCAGGAGTTCAAGACCAGCCTGGCCAACACGGTGAGACCCCTATCTCTACTAAAAACACAAAAATTAGCTGGGCATGGTGGCATGTGCCTGTAATCCTAGCTACTTGGGAGCCTGAGGCAGGAGAATGACTTGAACCTGGGTGGTAGAGGTGCGGGAGCTGAGATCGCACCACTGTACTCCAGCCTGAGCGACACAGTGAAACTCAGTCTCAAAAAAAAACAAAAGAAAAAAGCATCCAAAAATATTAAAGCAATTTTGTGTCCATTATAGTACTATCACAAAATCAAAGAAAAACAAAAAAGCTCTAAAATAAGAATGGTAGAAAAGCTACTAAAATATTACTAGTGGTGTCTTCTGACCCATGGATGCAAAATAATTACTTCTATTTTTCCATAGCTCAAACTTCCTACAAGGCATATATGTTGATTTTACAGTCACAGAAATAGACATTTTCAAGTGGCTGGAGATCAATCGTTATATAATTAAAGTAAAAGTAGTCTGCAGAGTGTAATATTTTAAAGCACATTACAATTATGATATTTATGAAATAATTCCAAAATCTGAACTACTTTTTCCGCAATTTAAAACACCTCTAATAAAAAGGTGAATGGTGGCTGGGAGCGGTGGCTCACGCCTGTAATCCCAACAGTTTGGGCGGCCAAGGCGGGTGGATCACCTGAGGTCAGGAGTTGGAGACCATCCTGACCAACATGGAGAAACCCCGTCTAGACTAAAAATACAAAACATTAGCTGGGCGTGGTGGTGCATGTTTGTAATCCCAGCTATTTGGGAGGCTGAGGCAAGAGAATCGCTTGAACCCGGGAGGCGGAGGTTGCAGTGAGCCGAGATTGCACCATTGCACTCCAGCCTGGGCAACAAGAGCGAAACTCCACCTCAAAAAAAAAAAAGTGAATGGTGAATTTTGCTTTATTTATATACACGTATTTTTTTAACCCCCAGCACTGTTGGGTACTAGTGTTTATATCGGTAATACGGTTTAGTGGGAAAAACAGGCTTTACTGCAACTGTGAACCACTTGGGTGAGAAAAAAGTCACTATATGAGTAAAGTATCGTGTAAAGAACAACGTCAAATGGCTGGATTCTAAGGGAAATTGTTTAGGTTTACATGGCATTTTATTGACAAGCAGACATATTGTATGTGACGAAAGCATATCACATATAAACTAGTATATGTATTATGCACTCAATCCGTCAACTCAGGTTCCTATTCTTAAGTGCTGCTGTCTCTCTTCACAACATAATAGTGCTATTTTAATCTCAGGAGACCCTTGGGGTTGGACACCGGACGAAAACTAACAAGAGATCCTTGGAGTAAAGCATAAACAGGCCCGGGAGCTACGCTAACGCCAAACGCCTAGCGCTGAAACGCGCAGCACCCGCCACACGCCTCGGTGGCAGCCGTCCACGCCGTCAGTGGCAGCCGGTTTCCGTGGGGCACACCCTCCCCACTTGCCACGCCCCTCCGCCCGCGGCGCACCCCACGAACCGACCCCATGCCGTCCGCCTCACGCACCACTTTCCTCTCCGTCCAGCGCTCGCTGTAGCCGGGCCGTCTCGCAGTCTAGCGTGCTGGCCAGAGACCGCAGCTTCCCGCAGAAGTTCCGGATCGGGTCCATGATGAGCACAGCGGGGAAGGGCTCCAGACGTCCGTGGACGCCACCGCTCACCTCACAGCCTCCCGCCACCAGTTTGAATGTCTCGGCGCCGGACGCGTCCTCGATTCTGCGCAGGCGCAGTCCTCTCTCGCGAGAGCTGAAGTCTCGCCTAGGTGCCAGGAGACAGCGCGAGAAGCGTGCGCTTCCGCCACTGCCGGCGGCCGCGGAGAGGAGGATTCCTCAGGTACGCGGCAGGTGAGTACCTGAGCTTATTCGGTGCTCTGGGACGCTCCTTCGTCACCTGCCAGCCTTAGCTGGGCTCTCCGCTTCTCTTGAGGGGAGGCGGTGCGGGAACTCCGTAGGCGTGAGCTGGAGCGCGCGCCCGCTGCTCTGTGCTGTCCCGGCCGCGCAGTTCGCGTGGGTAAAGCCCGTCCCTCTCCTCCGCAGGTACCATGTTCCTGACTGCGCTTCTCTGCCACAGCCGCATTCCCGGCCGTCAGTGGATCGGGAAGCACCGGCGGCCGCGGTTCGTGTCGTCGCGCGCCAAGCAGAATATGATTCGCCGCCTGGAGATCGAAGCGGAGAACCACTACTGGCTGAGCATGCCCTACATGACCCGGGAGCAGGAGCACGGCCACGCCGCGGTGCGCAGGAAGGAGGCCTTCGAGGCCATCAAGGCGGCCGCCACTTCCAACTTCCCCCCACATAGATTCATTGTGGACCAGCTCGACCATCTCAATGTCACCAGGAAATGGTCCTAACTCAGCCGTCACCCTTGGATTTTATGGATCACGGGGCTGCCCCTCTTTACCTGTTCCTGGGACTGAAAAACTAGCTTCTGTGAATATGTGAGCCTTTGGACCAGTCTTAATTAAAACAAACAAACATGAGTAGTCTGCATATGGACTGTCTGGGGCTGTAAACCTCCCAGTACTTGGAAGTCTAATCGTTGTCCTGTCGTTTCTTTAGACTGATAGGACAATAGGGATTTCCTCAGTCCCAGATGGTGTTTTGAAGGAGAGCTGCAATAAAGCCACAGACTATGATTTGAGGTCTTTGCTTAAGTATGAGATACTTGAGGGGGGCTTTATCATGCAACATTAGTTTGCTTACCTTCTGTCAACAATTGCCCAAAAGTAAAAGGAAATAGGAGTTTTTTAGTTAAACATACTCCTAAAAACAACATTCTCTTCTGGGATTTTACTACTAAAAATGGACATATGAGTGAAGTAAAAGAGGCCAGGTGTGGTGGCTCATACGTGTAATCCCAGCACTTTGGGAGGCCAAGATGGGCGGATCACTTGAGGTCAGGAGTTCAAGACCAGACTGGTGAACATGGTAAAATCCCGTCTCTGCTAATACAAAAAAAAAAATTAGCTGGGCATGGTGGTGCAGGCTTGTAATTCCAGCTACTCCCATGGGGAGGCTGAGGTGGGAGGATCGCCTGAACCCACGAGGCAGAGGTTGCAGTGAGCTGAGATCATGCCACTGCACTCCAGCCTGAGAGACTCCATCTCAAAAAAGAAAAATTAGACGAGGTAAAAGATATTTATCAGAACCATTACAGGATGTATTCTGGGGTACATGTGCATATCATGCAGGATTGTTGCTTAGGTACATACATGGCAAGGTGATTTGCTCCCTCCATTACCCGACCCCCCCCAATCACCCACATCTGGCCTTTCTCCCCATGTTGTACCTCCCCTGCTGTCCCTCCCCTAGCCCCTACAGGATGTATTTTTTAGCTTTTTTGGCAGGGTGTTTTGGTGCCTGCATGTAGTCCCAGATATTCTTGAAGATTGCCAGAGTCCAGCTTGGGCAACATAGCTAGACCCTGCCTCTGAAATAATAATAATATATGGCTGGGTGAGGTGGCTCACGCCTGTAATCCCAGCACTTTGGGAGGCCAGGAGTTCAAGACCCGCCCAGCCAACATGGTAAAAACCCCTTCTCTACTAAAAAATACAAAATTAGCTGGGCGTGGTGGCAAGCGCCTGTAATCCTTGCTACTCAGGAGGGTGAGGCAGGAGAATCCCTTGAACCCAGGAGGTGGAGGCTGCAGTGAGCCAAGTTTGTGCCACTGCACTCGAGCCTGGTGACAGAGGGAGACTCTATCTCAAAAAGAAAATTTAATTTAGGTGTGGAAAAAAAACAGAACTGCCTCTGTGGGAACAACAATAAAGGAGAAACCAGGATTGACTGAGAAGAGACACAAAGAACTCTGTCAAAATTGTATGGCTGAGGCCCATACCGTGGCTCATGCTTATAATCCCATCACTGGGAGACTGAGGTGGATGGATCATCTGAGGTTAGGAGTTTGAGACCAGCCTGGCCAACATGGCAAAACCCCATCTCTACTAAAAATACAAAAATTAGCCAGGCATGGTGACACACGCCTGTAATCCCAGCTACTTGGGAGGCTGAGGCACGAGAATCACTTGAACCCAGGAGGCAGAGGTTGCAGTGAGCCAAGATCACACCACTGCACACCAGCCTGGGTGACAGACTGAGATCCTGTCTCAAAAAAAAAAAAAAAAAAAAAATTATAGCCAGGTACAGTGCCTCACACCTGTAATCCCAGCACTTTGGGAGGCTGAGGCTGGTGGATCACCTGAGGTCAGGAGTTCGAAACCAGCCTGGCTAACATGGCGAAACCCCATCTCTATTAAAAATACAAAAATTAACTGGGCGTGGTGGCCAACGCCTGTAATCCCAGCCCTTTGTCAGGGCAGTGAACAGATCACAAGGTCAGCAGCTGGAGACCAGCCTGGCCAATATGGTGAAACCCTATCTGTACTAAAAATACAAAAATTGGACGGGTGTGGTGGCATGTGCCTATAGTCGCAGTTACTCAGGAGGCTAAGGCAGAAGAATTGCTTGAACCCAGGAGGGGGAGGTTGCAGCAAATCAGGATTGCACTACTGCACTCCAGCCTGTGCAATGGGAGCAAGACTCCATCTCAAAAAAAGAAAAATTTATATATATATATATATATATATATATATATATATATATATATATATATATATATATATATATATATATATATATATATATATAATAAAAATAGTATTTTGAAAATAATTTAATATGCCATATAATTTGCCAGTTGAAGATGTTCACTTTCTGAATATAATAAAAATAGTCAAATACTTTGTGTTACTGAATAATACTATATATAGCAGTGTAATACAGTACTCTGTACAGTATCCATTTGGTAACACAGTATACAGCACTCTATATGGTTGGGACTATTTTATATTTGAGAAAACACTTAAGGAACTGTTCAGAGTTACAGCCAGTGATGAGACGGACTTACGATTGAATTGCTATATCATATAGAAATCTTGTGTGAGTACGGTCAGCAATAATATATTGTACATTTTAAAATAGCTAAAAGATGGCCTGGCACACTGGCTAACGCCTGCAATCCCAACACTTTGGGAAGCCCAGGCAGGCAGATCACTTGAAGCCCAGGAATTGGAGACCAGCTTGGGCAACATAGTGAAACCTCTGTACAAAAAGTAAAAAAAAATTAGCCAGGCCCGTGGTGTGCACCTGCAGTCCCAGCTGCTTGGGAGACTAAGGCAGAAGAATGGCTTGAGCTGGGGAGGTTGAGGCTGCAGTGAGCTCTGATTGTCACACGACACTGCAGTCTGAGCCACAGAGGTAGATCCTATCTCAAGAAGAAAAAAACAAATAGCGAAAATAATATAATTAGATTGTTTATAGCACAAACAAAGGATAAATGCTTGCAGTGATGGACAACCCCCCCCAAAAAAGAAATCTTGTTGAGTGTTATACATACATTTAGTAGAAGTTTGCAAAATGTATAGAAAAAGAAAAATAATTGAATCCCATTATTCACTGAGATATTTCCCATTAATGAGAATCTTCATTCATATTTTCTTTCTTATTTAGTCTCCTTATATACCTATGCTTTTTGAAAATATATTGAGGTATTGAGCCCAGAAGCTTGAGGCTGCAGTGAGCTATGATTATGCCACTACGTTCCAGACTGGGCAACAAAACAATACCTCAATTTTTTTTTTTTTTGCTGTGTATGGCCGCTCAGCCTGAAATCCCAGCACTTTGGGAGGCTGAGGTAGGAGGATTGCTTGATGCCAGAAGTTTGAGACCAGCTTGGGCAACGTAGTTAGACCCTATCTCTAAAATGAAATGAATCAAAAATATATTGAGATAAATGGAATTTAGAGCAAAAGGCTGTAACATTTAAATATCCTGATGACAAATGGCTTTCCAGAAAGGTAGTGCAAAACTTCAAGACTGATGTGTGAGAATGGCAGTCTCATTTGCCAGCATTAAATGCTTTCCCTCATTAACACAAATTACTATATTTTGTTGGATGATTAACTTTTTAAAAAATTTGTTTAATTTTTTTCTTTTCTCTTTTTTAACCATCAAGTAAATGAACCTTTTTTTTTTTTTGAGACAGGGTCTTCCTCTGTTGCCCAGGCTGGATTGCTGTGGTGCGATCTTGCCTCACTGCAGCCTCGACCTCCAAGCTCAATTGATTTTTGTATTTTTTTGTAGAGACAAGGTTTCACCATGTTGCCCAGGCTGGTCTCAAATACCTGGGCTCAAGCCATCCACCTGCTTTGGCAGATGGATGCTGGCATTACAGGCATGAGCCCGCATGCCCAGCTCTCATTCACATTTTAATATCTGCAATTTGTACAGGGTATGGGAAAGATTTTTTTTTTTTTTTTTTTTTTTTTTTTTTTTTTTTTTT